GGAGTTGGACAGGCAACTTTGCGAAAACCTCTTCTGTTTATGGGGATACCCAGACATAGACTTGTTCGCTACCCGAGACAACAGGGTATGCGATCGGTATTGTTTGAGAGCGGGTATCGGATCGGGATCGACAGGAGATGCTCTCATGATTCCCTGGTACAATATGACTTTTTACGTGTTCCTTCCGATCCCACTTCTAACAAGAGTGGCATCGAAAATAGTTCAAGACAACGCCACAGGGATATTAATAACCCCATGGTGGCCGAGACAACCTTGGTTTACCACTCTCCTTCGACTATCCAGCAGAATGTTCCTTCGGCTCCCAACAATTCCTCAGTTGTTAACACAGCAGAACGGGGCAATCTGGCACCCAGACTTGACCTCATTGAAGCTGACGGCCTGGTGCATCAGCTAAATCATGCAACTGACTCGATACCGATGACATCTCAAGTACCGGCGAACCCGGCTCGATGAACTGTACAAACGACTCCTCCCTCGAATTCAACGAGGACCGCTTCGGTGCCGACAGCTTTCGATCTGGAAATTCAAGCGATTCTCGAGTATGATTTAAGACAATCCACCCATCGGTCTTATGCGGCGAAATGGAAGAGAGTCTCATCTTTTGCTGAACGCCATTCATTTGCTCTTGGAATGGCTTCGATTGAGAACATCTTACAATTCTTCCTGGAACTGTACCACTCAGGACTTAAGCTATCATCCATTAAAGTTTACGCAGCTGCCTTATCACATTATCGTGGTGCTGTACAAGGCTCATTGGTCTTCTCTCAACCTTTGGTTCATCGTTTCATTAAGGGATTACATAATTTACACCCTTCCATTTGTCCTGCTATGTCAACATGCAGTCTTTCCGTAGTACTTCAGGTGCTTACAAAGCCTCTGTTCGAACCTTTGGTGACAGTTGACCTACGCCTTGTTTCTTGGAAAACGGCCTTCCTTATAGCAGTCACATCAGCTCGGAGAGCTAGCGAACTTTGTGCCCTTTGAATAGACCCACCGTATTTGAATTTCCATAAGGAAAAGGTCATTCTTCGGATGGATTCATTGTTTCTGCCTAAGGTGGCTATGCCATTCCACATGAGTCAGGAGATTGTTTTACCTGTGTTCTTTCCATCGCCTTCTAATCCGATAGAAAGGTCTCTTCACACTCTCGATGTTTGACGCTGCTTGGCTTTTTACAAATCTCATACAGAATCCTTCCGTCGTTCTAATAGACTCTTCGTTAAGTATTCCGAGCATGACAAAGGGTCCCCGGTCACATCTCAGAGACTTTCTAAGTGGATTGTCGAAACTATCGTCCTGGCATACCAGCTAGCAAAAATAGACTTACCTATGTTTCCAAGAGGTCATTCTACGTGAGCAGTAGCAACTTCGTCTGCCTTTGCCACGGGGGTTCCATTTCAAGATATCTGCAGAGCTGCAACATGGGCCGCTCCATGCACTTTCGCCAAGCATTATTGGCTGGATGTCCGTGCCAGACAGGACTGCTCTTTTGGCAGAGCAGTTCTCTCATCTGTTCTTTGCTAACGACACCTCCCTCCTCCGAGTCTGGTAAACTAGCTAATCACCCATATGTGTGATGCACAGAGGCCATGACAAAGAAAAGCAGGTTGCTAACCTGTAACTGATGTTCTTCGAGTGACCATCTGTGCATTCACACAACCCACCTGCCGGCCCTGCTTGGTGCTGGTGAGTGGATGAATTTTTTTCTCAGTACCATACTTTAATATTTTGGTACGGTTGACGCTTACTGTCATATGCTTTAAACCCCAAGGGGGCGAACATTCGGTCTTCAAGACTGAGTAAAATGGCAGACACTTCACCCTATTTATACCACTGAGGGGGAGGGGAGCGGAGTTTTCCCGCCAAAAACCGTTAACTTTCTAATCTTCCGGCCTAGGCACTGTGCAGGCGCAGCACCTATATGTGTGAATGCACAAATGGCCACTCGAAGAACATCAGTTACAGGTAAGCAACCTGCTTTTCCTCTGAGTGAAATCTGCCCCAGTCAGTGCAGTATGGCCGCAGCCTTCATCAGCATGCATGGCTACATTCTGTGGGCCTCTCCTTGGAAGCAAAATCATGAATTCAAGACTTCCCCTATGAGAGAGAGGCACTGTTAGGCTCCATCAGTGATGAGACTCTGGACCATATTCTCCTCTCGACTGTCATTCCAGTAACAACATTCCTGACAGTAATCTTTTTCAATATGGTGGTCTTCCTGTTCTCTGGTGATAGTAATCCCCCTCCCCCATTTTTCAGGCCTTTGTGTGATGACACCTTTGAGTCTCCTTACACTTCACAGAATTTTCCCTTTCCTTGAGGCATAGAAAGCATAATTAAGGACACCTGATCCCTGTAAACAGGCTGGAAAGGCTACACAATAGAATTCAGTCAAAATACCCAATCAGGATTTTGTGGGAAGAAATTGCTGTCCTATTACCTAAAAGAACCTCAAATACATCCCCCTTCATAGAAACAATACATCTTTGTATTCCTATTCTTTTATAATGCTCAGGAAGGACACTGTCTTATGATCCATCCTGGACAACTATGAGATAAACCATTTCATCTGATAATAGAGGTCCTGAATGACTATATGGTCCTTGATCCGTCCACTGCTTCATGAAAGCAACTGGTTTGCCATCTGGATAACATCTATTTCCATATCATTATCTATCCTGTATACTGATAATTTTGTCTGGGCAGTTCTACAAGATTCAGAGTGTGACCCTTTTTACTCATCTGTTTATTGGGTTTAAAACAACAAAATGTATCATTAGAATGGAAAACTTGAGTCTTAATGTTTTCTTGAAATTCTAGATTTTGCAGGCTGAGAAAATACATTGTCAGCTGATAAATCATTGAGAAGCAATGAGTAGATTACATATTTCAGTTGATTTGAAGGACTACTAATTGTGTGTCCTTCTTGTGCAATTAATGCTTCGACAAGGGTGCTATAGAAGGATGAACAGTGTTAACTAGAAAGAAAAGAGTACAACATTTTTATTTGAATCTGATACTTCCCCCAAGATTTAGAGTAAGAAAAGAACTTTTTCCTGTGTACTTTTCACATACTGGCAGTAATCCATCAAAACAAGCTCAACCACACTGTTTTATATAGTTTCTGTTTTCATCTTGCATACTAGTAACTACAAAAAGGGGTTTAATTCTTTCTGATGAAGAGCACAATGCAATGCTTACTTTTTGTGTTAACATATTTGTGAGCTGGTCAGAGATACCATGAGTGATTACAAACTTTTTGCCCTTATGCCAGTATTATGCAAAGTAATTTTCCTGAGCCCTAAAGGCTGACTGAAAAAAGATTCTGGTAAATTCTAGATTAGCAAACAATAGTAAATAATAGCTCTACAAGTAATAAAAACTTTTTTTCACAGAATACCATGTCAAGATGTAGTTGGATATGTTTTAGCTATAAATCTAACTGCAAATTTGCCTCATTAAAATGAGGGTGGTGTGTTTTGCCTCCTCTTGGTTGCATACCCTAACATGGTGAGGAGGTCTGAGAGTGTCAAAGAAGCCAAGAGCAATGCCGCCAGGAAGTCAGACTCTCTCACTGGTCTCATCTTCAACCAGGGTAAAATGGTCAAAAGTGAAGACTAAGATGCATCCACCTTCTTAAGGAGTAACGGTCACATGAGCAGAAGAGGATGGATGCCTTTTAATGGTAGTGGCAGAGAAACTCCTGCATAGTATTCTGGAAAGACGATAATATTTAGAGAGAGAAATGAAGAAACAGAATGGTTTCCTATATGCAAAGCTGTCACAGAAGGGCATATTTTATCTCCCTGTCTGTTCAATCTGTTCACAAAGCATACTGTAAGGAAAGCTAAATAATGATCAAAGGAAGGAGTGAGAATTGGTGGAAGGTACATCAGTAATTTAAGATAACTTATTACTGTCAGAGAGCAGCAATGAATGGAAACAACTCCTGTTGAAAGTAAAACAAGAAAGTGCAAAAGCAGGTCTACAGGGGAACATTAAGAAAATAAATTACATGACCCATGCAGTGGTCAGACCTGATAGATTCAGAATAAGTTTAGGAGAAAGAGGAAAAAATAGTCAAAGTGAGTACATTTATCCAGTTTTGAAATAAGGATCTTGCTTTAGTCATGGGTTCTTGGAAATTCACTATGGGCAGAGATCACATACTTTCAAAATAGGGTAATCACTCTAGCTATTTAAACAACTTGGTGCATGCATCATGTTATCTATAAACATCCCCAAAACCTTATATATGCAGCACTGGTTGGACACCTTAGCAAAGGCAGTAATGGAAAGATTGCACACCTGAGCTAACTGGAACCCCAGAATTAAATCTGATCTGGTTTTAAAAACAGACTTTGGAATGAAGAACCTAAAACTGATTTCACTCCTTAGAAATAATAAATGTGGAGACAGACAAGGGCATTTAGGGAAAGAAGAGGAAACTATGCATTTCCTAAACAGAAAGACTAAGGTAATCATATTAGACAAGGTTCTAGAGTTAAGCCAATAAAATGCAAAATGCTACCTGCACATTATATCCTACTCATTATGGTCCTGAAAATATGATATTCATATATTCTTGAATGTTCTACATTTTTCACATTGTACAAAAGAAAATATTTAAGAGTCTTGATACAATTTGATGCTATTGGATTATATATCATTGCTTGGCATTTTCTTGGCAAAGTAAGCTAACATCTACATTGTATTTGGTAAGAATTCTTGAAAGTTGTTTGAGTGAAGCCATCATCTCAATGAAATTGTGAGTGTGAAACATTTAAAAGTCCATAGTATTCACTGACTGATCCTAAAACAGTTCAAGTTAGATGATGTATTAAAAGTTATGGAACAAGCTTATATCAGTAGAGTTTAGTCATGGCTAATTTTAATTGGATCAGGGCTATTTTGTATTTGTATTTTGTATCAAGTAGAATATGGTGGACTCAGACATGTATCTCCCTTTTATCTTTAAGAATCACGACCTTTATCAGTTCCAGTAAAAGCAATGCTGAACTTGTCTGAAAGCTGCAGCAAAAGTCCTGAGGAAAGAATGAAAGAATTTATTGGCGTAGTGTGGAATGCAGTTAAGCGCCTTACACTTCAGGTAAGATGTAAGGGAGAAAAATAATATGTTAATGTGCTTAGTGTTTTCTGGAAATTTCAGCTTATGTTGAAACTCCTGTAAGATATACTCTCAAATCTTGTTCATATGAAGAATGATGAAGCCAGTCATAAGCACCAAGTCCCTTCAACTTAAATGGGAAGATAGTTGAGCATAGTCTTTTTTGCATTCTCTCATGATGTAGTTACGTGCTACAACAGTAGTGTATTGCTCTGAATTTTCCGCAAAACCATTTTGTGTATACTTTAACAGGCCATCTCTGGGTTATTTGCCCAGATTAGTGCTGCATGTAAAAACTTCATCACCCAGAGATCCAGTCAGATTGCATCTTATCCTTTGATTTAAAAAAATGTAATTTTTATTGTGGCTATCAGACAACATTATTATTCTGATATGCTGCAGGTTTTTGTTTCATTGCAATTTGTTTCATTGTATTCGAAAAAAACGCTAAAATGCAGACTTACTTCTACTACAGGCACTCTTGTATCTGAATATCAGTCATGAACCTCACTTCTCTCAACAGGAGTTCTTGCTAAATGATAACATTAAGAACCAGTCTTGAAGAGTCATATTTGCTTAACTAGCCTAGATATGAATAACCCTCCTTTCACAGTGTGGACAATCAAGCCATGAAGGTGCTAATTACCTAATTGCTCACACTATGAAGTCAGAAGTTTGTGCAAAGGAACTACTGTTCAGGGAAATGCTTAATTCAGACTTTGGTCTATTCAGGCATGGTATGATTACTCTTTTGTAGCCTGACTATATTGTTTCTGTCACAGATGGTCGTCAGGATTACTTCTTGAACCTATGGCATAGATTGAATGTACTACAGGTTGTTGTTTAAACATGGATTATTGTGCTGTCTGAATTCAGCTTTGCTAACAAATCATGGCTGGTTCACTGGGAACAACCCATGAAGAGACCCATGGTTTGTTGTTGCTCTGTGAACTGTGGATCACTCACTGTGGTTTCCTATCTCAGTTGGATTCAAACATAATAACTCACATTTCAACAATGCAAAGTTCAGCGATAAGCCACACTCACCCTGTATGCAAGGCCTGAGTGTGATTATCCTGCTTTCTGAACTCAGCACCCTCCTGCTTTTTGTTTATACAAAATACAAAGTTTAACCTTTTTAACCAATGTTTGCAAATTGGTAGGCAATGTCTGAAAATCATGTTTCCTTCCTTGAGTCTCACTCCTCATGTACAAATTCCCATGTTATCCATGGTTAAGTCTATGGATAACATGCTTTTCTTTAAATCTAGATTTGAAATGTATGAACTTTTTATTTTAATAGTATTGTAGAATACTCAGAGTTTCATTATCAGTTGTATTATACAGAACTATAAACTTGAAAATATTTTAAAGCTTGCTTTTTTGTAGCAATCAGATGGGACTTATGGGGGTCTAATATAAAGTTCTAGAACTGTGGCCTGTATATTAGAATTTATTTTATGCTGGATTTTGATTTAGTGAATTATAACGTACAGTTATTTTATGATAATAAATATAGATTGGAAATAAATCAACAGATACAGCAGAACTTCTCCAAACTGGAACCCATGAACAGATTGTTACTTTACATGAAGTTAGAGTAGGTAAATCTGTTCAGAACACCTGGAATGTTTCTTTTAAATCCAAGACTTGCATTTGCTTATCCTTGGCCAGTTTTTGCTCATGAGAGTGTCTTGCATGATAACTCAATGTTAAGTGAGCTTTCTTAAGTTCTTATGATGTCAGTGAAAAACTGCTTCATAGTTAAGTGTAAAGAAGGCTTTTTTGTGTAGTTGTTAAAGACCTCAAATGTTAAGTCTTGCATAATGTCTCTTGGCAACAGGAGTGTGGGGGAGGGAAGTATTCACTTTTCATGTGTTTCTGGTACTAATAGTTACTGAAGTCATGAAGAAACATAAACACAATTATTTTTAATTGCTTTTCAGTGCTTACTTTCACAGAGAAGAACAAGGATTCCACATTTCAACCAAATGAGTTAATCATGAGTAATAGTATGTTGAATGCCAACCAAATAGGTTGACATTTTTACTAATACATTTCGATAAATTCACTATTCTCAATATGTTCCTTAAAGATGAATCCTTGGTTACTCAAAAATATTTGAAGCAGTATTATTAAATCACCATAATTTGTATCAATGCACATATTTAAATTATAGAGTTGAAATTATTACAGTGATATTACTTCAGTATTGCTTGGGTACTTTCAGGTAACCAGCTTTTATTTAAGCATGCCTATTTATATCAGAGATCATTCTTCCATTATCTTGAAGCAAGCAAGACACAAGTATTCCTGGCTAATGTAATGATACAAGTAGAAATGTCTTCCCTCCAGTTTCCTCACTTCAAGAAGTATTAAGGTTTATATATGAGGCTAACACAAACAACCTTGCTAGCACCTGGCTGAAGGCCTTGGCCTCCTTTAGTCATTATTTCTCTTCTCTTGTGAGAGAGGTGAAGCGGAGTTGGATGACTGTGCTTTTTTTTTTTTTTTCCTTATGCAACAGCAGAATGGGCCCCTGCATCTAGGATAAAATTTAAGTAATTTATATTACATAAATCTTTCTAAAGATAGGATTGTTTAGCATTATTGCCTTTACTTGTTATTTTTCTCATACTCTCTAATTGATTTTAAACAATCTGTGATTTGAATCCTGGGATTAGAATTTAGCCAGTGCTGGTTCAGTGTGTTGGAACTGCTTTGGATTCCATCGTATACTTAGAGTCGGCTTGACTAATGGGCAATAAACAACAACAACAACAACAACAACATAGATGGGAATAACAACTTTGCTGGCAGCAACCAGTGGGCTTGCTAAGAGTTATTTGCTTACTCTCAAGTAAATAGCTATGGTGTTCTCAGCTTATTCTACTTGTAAATAGCAATAATTGAAACATGTTCAAGAATGGTCTGCCTTGTGAGGGAGAATGAAAAGATGCTTTGCATCACGAGAACATGTGTTTATGCTGTTGAAACCTGTCCAGCTGCTGGTGGCTGTTAACTGCTAAGTTTAGGGTAGCCAGATGCCCTCTTTTCTCCTGTACTGTCCAGTATTTTAAAGACACCCCAAGAAAGCTTTTGGATTCAGTATGTCCAATACTGCACAAAAAGTAAGGTGGTTGCTCATCTTTTTTCTGAAATGTAATTGAGAGTCAAAGGCAAGTTACCACAGCTAAAGCAGCTGAACTGCCTGTCATCTGGAATGAATGCTATCTTAACATGCCACTGTGCAGGCAGAAAAGGGAAATTGCACGGTTTGCCTTTTCTTTATGGGCAATTGTATTGACAGAGTTAGACCAAGATTCTGATTCAAAGTTAGATCAGGATGATTTTATTTCAGTCCATTTGTAGGAAACCTGAAGCCTGAGAATTCAGTTCTGCCTAACTTCCCATCCAATCGCATGTAGTGCTCACTTACAGGCCAGATTATTCTGTCAGGATGGATTATTGGAAGGAGACCTTTATTAGGGTGGTACAGAGGATGAAGAAGCTTTCCTGGGAACAATGGCTTAATTGCTCAGAATACTTTCTTGCCTTGACTTGTTATGGAACTTTAGCTTTTATCTGCCTTGAATCCTGTATCAGTAAGACTCTGACTTGGAATCTGTTGCTGGAATTGAACTCTCACTGTGCATTCTGCCTTGGACCTTTCTCTTGAACAAGGCAATATCCTTATAGCTTCTGCCTAGGATATCTGATCTTTGGAGTCTATAAATGTTGCAAGTTTTGCTGCAAATTCTGGAAGGACAGAGCTTGCTATAATAAAGGGGTTCACTGTTTTGTGATATGTTGGATGGCCAGAATATGTCAGAAAGTTTGACCAGACATATGCCAAAAACGAAAAGAACCTCTATATGTAGGCTATGGAGGCAGCTATGGAGGCAGCCATATTTTTCCCTGTACAGTGACCTTGTAAAGGAAATGCAAATCATATCATTTTCCTTTTCTCCCTTCCCAAAGGCATTTGAGGTTTCCATTCATATTTTAGGGCTGGCATATTACAAAACTGCTGTAATAACTTTCACTGCCTTGATTATTTCCTTTAGAAAGAAAGAATTTCAGATTGGCCACTGATCTGTCCACCTCATGTCCTTATGTAGTAAGAATCCCATCACTGACACTGGGAGAAAAAAGACAGTGCAGAGCCTAGTCCATTCATTCATTCGTTCATTCATTCGTTCATTCATTCATTGGATGGATAAACTGCATCCAGTACTTCCACACAGAACTCATTATTTATCACATCTGCCATTTGATTTAGTGGGGATAATGCTTGTATATGAGTAGCTTATTGAAGTTAAAATAATTTTGAAACAAGTTTTAGAGTATATGAGATAACTGATTGAGAAGGAGGATAAATTAGAAGTTTGGGGAAATTTGGGGAATTAATTGACTTGTGATGTTTAGCTTTAATAATTATCTCCAAATTTTCGTGTGGATATAAATCAACACGTGCTTATATGCAAATTGATGGCCTTTTTTTTCAGGGGTGCACACGTTTTCTGGTATGCCTACCTCGCCAACTTAGTTAGATTGTATAGCTGTCAGACGGTACCCATTTCTTCTTCAGAAGACAGGCTAGCCAGGCGTATTTCCTGTCAATTGGCTTTCATTATGTAGAAATTGGAGACAAGCAAACATGGCTTCATGGTGCAGACTAGGTTCCCCATACAAGCAAAGCAGACAAATTATCGAAGTTGCTGTAGCTGAATACCAATCCTGTAAGATCTAGGGTATTCCAGTTTACAGAATCATAAATGAAAAGCAACACAAAATTAGTTTGGCAAATTATAACCCTCCCTGGTCAAGCTCTTCTTGAGGTACTTCTGTAAAAATAGGGACCCTAACTCCTGTAATGATGTTCTGTTCAATGACATATGGATTCAAACCTAACCAGGTAACATAGAGAACTGATGAGGAAAGGGATGAAGTTGCTTTTAGAAGTTTAGCAGATGCTGAGG